AACTAGGCACCCCCTATATACTATCCCAGTCGTCACACAATCACCCATGAGAGTAATTATAGTCAATACACAGTCTAACATGGTAGGTGGTCTATTAACATGTATGGAGAATGACAGTGATATAAATAAACGTGTGGCACCTGAATCTATAACTACTCGTGCCTGTGGACCAAAAATAGATATCATACCTGTGACCATATCCGAGGTTGCCTAAGAGTACAAAGACATGACCTCCAGCCTCAGGTCCGCTCAATCCACTGCCACCAGCACCGTTAGCTCCAACGCCACCTCCAGTACTGTCTCCTCGTCCTCGATTTCTACCACTCACTGCTCCTCGGGACACCGTAGATACGCTGCCCATCGATAAACTCTGAGTAGAATATTGCATACAATCCCTTTGCATATGTCCTTCTTAGCCACATAAAAAATTAATCACTAACACATTAATTAGGTTGTTAATTATGATTTTATTAAATTAAATATTATTTTTAGAAATTTTAAATAAAAAAATTGACCTTAAATAATATTATTTGCATGAAAACGAGTCGAATGATTATAATATAGGTCATATTTTATATTGAAATAAAAATACTATAATATTCTAATGGTATAATAGACGAATAATATATATGTAAATTTGTAATATATCTATATAATAAGGGAACAAGTACTATTTTTTTTAACCTTTTCATGGCTCAGATTATTTTAAGATTATTGATCAAACGATCAAAACTTTTCCTCCAAATTTTTTTCCTACCCAAAAATTACAAGAGTCATTTTCATTTTACCCGATTATCGATTTGAACCGATTATAATTAGGATTCCAATTGAGCTAAATATGATTGTCGAGTATAAAGTATATATTCTTGCTTAAATTTAACTTTGCTTGAATTTTATGAGGATTCAAGTTGAAGTCAAATTGAAATAGGTTGTAAAAATAATAAAAAATAATTAAATTTAAAAAAATTATGGTGTCACTATGAACGAGAATAGATAAAAATTAGTTTGTAGATTTAAGATAGAAGCGTTAATTGAGTCGAACTTAAATTCAATTCTTGGTTTGATGTAATTATGATTAAGATTCGAATTGAGCTGAATTTGACTGCCTCATATAAAATATATATTCTTACTTAAACTTAAACTCGATTGAATTTTACAAATATTCAAATTGAACTTAAATGAAAATTGATCTTAATTTATTAAAAAAATTTTTGGATGATTTCCTCACAAAAGTTATACGAACTCACACTGAAAAAATGGTGCAAAGATATGAACATTAGGTAAAAATCTATAGAAAAACAAATAGTTATATTTTTTTGAAATTTGAGATAAAGTTTATTAAAATGTGAAAATCGTGGATGTTTGATCAATAATAATTATATTTTATCAGATGTTTGAATTAATATGTTGTAATAGTTATAGCGTGACTTTCGTTATATAAAAATTTGATTATATATGTTTTGTATATAGGTTGAATAATACTAATTTGATTATTGTATTGTTGAAATTGTATTATATATTATTTTTATTTATAAACAAATATTTACAATTTTATACAAGTAACATAGTACACTTAGACACGAACAATTATTAGTTTTAGAATATGTTAATTAATATTCAGCCTAATAGCTTGCGTACTAGTAATTTGAGTCCATAAACAGCAAACATTGGCACTAAAAATGGACCACCAAATAACACTGAAATAGGGTTATCCCATATCGGATAGCTTTGGGTGTGTGTGTGTGTGTGTGAGTATATAAGTCTTTCCGCTACTTTCACTTTTTAAGTGGTTGTATCGGATTAGTTCTATTGTCTGTTTAAAAAAATTTGCTATATGTTGTGTGTGGGTGCTTGCTCACACGTCTGGATGTGTGTGGTATGGGGTTTCTGTCGGTCCCCTATCTAAAAGGTGGTACGTAAGTTTGTCCCTAGGGGACTGGGCTATCCCACATTGGATAGCTTTGGGTGTGTGTGTGTGAATATATAGGTCTTTTCACTATTTTCACTTTTTATGTGATTGTATCGGATTGGTTCTATTGTCAGTTCAAAAAAAAAATAACACTGAAATAGGTTTAATAAGAAATCATTTTTCCAAATAAGTTTTTTTTTTTTTTCTCGGTGAGTAAGGTTTTGATTGACCAAAGAGAAGATCCGCAAATTATACGGCTACTTAAAATGAACAGAAACAAAGGACAACAAATTAAAGGAAAGCAGATGGCCAATCATCTAAATACAAGGAAAAGATTATCTGCCATCCCCCTTCAAAAAACCTGATCATATTGGGATCTTCCACCAAAAAACAAGCAAGATCCAACCATCAGAAACAAGACAAAAACCAATCAGAAAACAGCCATATCAATCCATTTCTTTCAAAGCAGCAACAAAGCCAATACTCGGCAGCAAACAGCATCAGCAACAACAAACCAGCACAGCAGCAAGCATCAACAATAACTTTTCTGTGTAAGTTGTTTGCTTCTTCTTAATTTATACAAGGAATATATACACTGATTATTCTGCTTCAGGACCGACAACATGTAGAGAGCTAATAATATAGTCGAACATACATAGTTCATATTCTATATTGCATGATGATGTAGAACACGTCGCAACACCTTTCATGGAGCGGAAAGATTGGAACACATTGAAGGCGTAAAAGAAACTTTCGAAATTGTAACATAAACAAAACGGGTGTCAGAGTCAGAACGGGTGTTAGAGTCAGAATATTGGAGCAAAACCATTGTCATTTGACCACAAACTATCAAAAGATTACACTCATTGGTCTGCTATGATATAAGCCTTTTTTTTTTGTTGGGGGTTGGGGGAGGAAATACCATCATCTAGGCATTCAAATTAATAACCTTATATTTTTTTTGCAGGATTTAGAATATTTTTTAATTACTATAGAAAGTTCTAATTTAATTTTTCATCTACTCTTCCAGAATCCTGGCGAGCACAATAATGTCTTATTAAGTCAAGTCAAGACATTCTAGTTTAGTAATTGTTGCTTAATCATGATATTACTTCCTAACTGGAATATATTAGAACATCTCCAACGAGGTTTTGTATTTTAGTTATCCAAAAATACACTATTTCTATTTTAGTTACTCATTTTTTTAATACATATTTCAACATATTTTTTATATTTTAACTGTTACTTTTAAATATTATTTATCATATCTTATACCTTTGATGGAACTATTAAAGATTGAGAAAAAAAAATAGAGGAAAAAATAAAAAGTGGACAAAAGAGGTGGGAAATGACAAGAAGAGAGAGAATATATATTATAAACTATTTATACACAATGCTAAAGTAAAACTTTAAATATAGAGCATCACTCTAGTAAAAATATATATTACTTACTCTGAATATATTATGTTAGAGCATGTTTTTTGCCTTTAAATAATTAAATTTTAACTATTTTGTAGTTTTACTGTTCTATTGGAGATGCTCTTAAGAAACAATTGAATGAATAGAATCTTTGCATTTGTACGTGGTAATATTTTACACGGAAAAAGAATAAATGAAGAAGTTTAAGATTAAAAGAAATTGAAGAGAAATAAAATTAAAGGAAAACAAAATACAAAGAATTACGTGGTTCGAAAAAATTCATAATAAGCGTGATAATGGAAATAAGAAAATAAAGCAAAATAATAAGAACACTTAGAAATACGTGATTCGATAAATTTTCTACATCCATGGAACTAAATACCTAATGGGCTATATTGATGTATTAGTCATAACTCGTGCTTGAAGGGACGATGAAATGTAAAATTCGAGTATCCAAAAAATTAATCTCATTATATTAAATAATAATTTTTATTTCTTTCTTTTCTTTGATCATATCATTTAAAATTAATTTTACCTATTATTTTTTTAAAAAAAATCGACAAATTTTTTCAAAATATGTAATCTGACCAAATTTTGTCAACATGTGTTCACAATCACGTATGCACAGTATCTGCAATAAAAATTGTGTTAGATTATAAATTAATCAAATATAAAGTGATATGTAATAAAAATGGATGATGTGATTTTTTTTGGGGGGAAAAATGTATAGAGATAAAATTTCAAACACCTAACTATTTTATTATATAAATTATTGATGGTACTTGATTACTCGGATTTAGATCCCCTCCATTATCCATTTCCTTCAATATAGTGTTAAATGAGTGAAATGTGTAATATTTTGAATTTCAATGGATAAGATGTTTTCTCATTTATTTTATTGTTGTTAAAGTGTTAACCATTATTAAGGAATTTTTTTACAAGGAAAAAATCTTGTCCATTGAAATTCTAAATCTTACACATGTCATTCATCTAGCATTGTATTGAAGAGAATTGAAGGGAATGAATAATAGAGGGGATCTGAATACTGATTACTCATGGCTCAACCGTATTTATAGAGTGAGAATTACACAAGATAAAAATAAATCACTCATGTTTATCATCATCAGTAATTATCTAGATATCGATGAATTTTTTTGGATCTTATCGTATCTTTACCTAGATATTGATAGATTCTGTATGATCCTATATCTGTAATACCTCCCCCCCTTCCCCAAGTTGGTACACTGAAATCAATTGAAGTGTCCAACTTGCACCAAAAAATATGGTTGGTTGCTTATCAGTTGGATAATATAGCTTTTGGTGATGAAACTTCTCCTTATTAAACTCTCCCAATAGATTTGCGAGTTGAGCTACGGGTAGCCTATCTTATCCAAAACTCGGCCTAGTCTAACCTGTCCATTAACTCACCTAACATTTAGGTTATGTCGGTCCTAAATTTTTTCGTATAATTTAACCTTAAATTTTTTATTTTGACTCAAAAACATGGTAAGTTTAGTACCGTGGTTCTTTCATTACCTAAGTCTAACCCTAAAGAACAAGTGTAAAACATTTTTTAAGCAACTGTAGTCAAGCTAAAGCAATCCAAAAAGAAACATCCTTATGATCTCTATACACCCTACCAAAACCATAACTGCCACTATTAGGTCCCTACTCAATCCAAATCAGAGCAATCCAAGGCTTCCTTAATTTTCTGAACTGTGGAGCTTATAAGAGTGTTGACAGTGGCCACAGACTCCATGTTCAGCTGCTTTGAAAGTGAGTTGCAACACACCAGTATCTGGAAAGCCACTGTGACAAGTGAACCTGGCTTGCCAGTACTTGTGCTGGTTGAAGCTTTACTTCCTTTGTCGAGGCGCCCGTCACTGGATATTATAATCCCCGATGGAAGTATGGGTATTTTTCCAGTGTCCTCGCCGCTTATGACTTCGGTAATGGCCGGTAGGTCTATCGGAGCATAGACTACAAGTGCTCCTGAAGGGTCGATGCAGCTCTCTTGAAGCATCAGCATGTTCTGCTTAGGGACGAAAGGCTGGCTCATAGAAACAATTTGAATTACATTTCAATAAACTCATTTAAGAAATATATTAAGTAATAAGAATTATAAAGCCAACAACTGTAGGGCAAACAATTCTGATGCAAATTGATTTTGCACACCAGTTGAGTAATTGGAAATAAAAGCAATAATTAAAGTAGAGAGAGAGGACGAGAGTTATAGTAGTTCGATCAATGTGACCTACGTCCACTTCTAAATAGTTAGGGTCGTCAAATACTTTATTAATTCAGGAGTGCTTGGAGAGTAGAGACTACAAACTTTGAGAGGGAGAGGAGAGTTGTGCTCAAATGAGAGCGTGTTTTTTCTAAGTGTTGGTGGGATTTATAATTTATAGTCACTCCCTAACAGATTAGGGCAACTTAATAGCAACTAAGTAACTATTCTAGTGGAGTTCACGATTTCTTCTCAACAGTCGACGTGGTTGAGGTGCTCTCCACGAGACTCGGTCAGAAATGAGGTGAGGGTTGACTATTTCCAAAACGACGAGGGTGAGGCTCCCAGATGTTATCTTGATGACGTAGCCAAGCTGACTTGGCTCCCTGATGAGTTTGACTGGACTTGGACCATATTAGACTTGGTGGATCTTTATAGGACTGGACTCTTAGTTAAAATTGAACTTATCACATCGATCGAGCCATTTGGGTTTGGCCCATCAAATTCTAAAGACGATTCGTGAGATTGACATGAAATCGATGTAAAATTAATAAGTTTGAATGAGAATTGGGAGGATTCATTAGAGCTACAAAGTATTTGGTTCGACACGAACCTGAAATACGATTTATACACATTATTAATCCAACAAGATACAACCCAGATCTACACAAGCATAAACAGGTGAGATATCCGTCAAATAAATTTTGATAATTATGGAAACAATAGATATTTTAACTTTTATGGAAAAATTATAATCACACCCCCTCAAAATTTAAGGAAATTCTCTGGCTGGCAACTATATTTAAATATTGACACCACGATACCTTGACATGTTAAAGAAGTTACCTGAATAATAGAAATACAGTTTCCTGTATGAGTTCCACATGAGATATGTGCGATCTCAGCCACTGGATTTCCATTAGACAGCACATCCCACTACGAGGAAAAATGACAAAGTAACAAAGAATTGCCATTAATATTCATGATTATTTTCCAAAAAGTAATAATATAGAGATAAAAATGCATTCATAGTAGTAATAATGACATGCATATGACGTTTTCGTAGTAGTCATGAGTTCAAAAAACGTGTGAATTAGGATAGTTTTTGGTCATAAAAAATATTTGCAACTATACAAACCTGAGCTCGGATTTTTTGATTTATGAAGAAATCAAAGAGGGTTTCACATGAAAAAGGAAGCCACAGAGAGGTAGCAGCAGCGACAATCATGCCTCGAGGTTGGCCTGGTTCGTTGCTTTTGCGGACCGAGACTCGAATCCCACTATTGTTTGATTCTGATAGGTGAGGGAAGTCTAATTTATTTGACATGCTTAAGCTTGAACAAAAATTCTTGACCATCCTGTGTGAAAGATTCACTATTCTTCTCCTACCTTCTGGAGCATCAATCACTGAACAAACAAAAAATATTATGAAGCCTGCAATAGTAATTAAGGGAAATTCCAAATTTATTGCAAGTATTAGCTTGAAAGGTTACTAGCTAGTAATAAGTACCCCCTTCGAGTTCGTGACAGGGACTAGTCCTTGACCCCATTGAGTATGCAAATCTCTCACACATCCTCTGCAGAGTTGCCACCCATCGTTTTGCGCCGTATGCTTGACAAACACATACTAAATCTCTATAGAGACGATGAGTTAGAGATCTATCGTCTACTTGAACGTGTTCAATCCACGTAACCTAACAGACACAGAAGTTAAGGTTACAGGTTCAGGTTAATCGGAGTATAAAAAGCAACATGGGTGGCCAAGATAAGATAAATTGAATCTGCAAAGTAAATATACGTTTTAGGAGAATACATGTATAGAGCCTAATAATACTGAAAGTAGTTAAACAGTATAGGTGTTGTTGGACTTGGAAGTGTCTAGTGACATGTAAATATATTGTTAAAATGGTGATGTCCCGTTATCGCTAATACATAAAATCAACTGTCAGGTTAGTATGGACGTCCAGCCCATCATCATCAATTTAAATTTCCCCTTTTATAAATCAACCTCTGGCAAGAATCCGTGATCACTTAATTTCATTTCATGCTACATATGGACAATGAAGAGATCTTTCACAGTTCTACAGTGTCTGGTCACTCATGGCATCATGCATGGTGGACAATAGAAAACTTCAGAGAAACCAAACTTTATGTTGTGTGACGGGATCTGGTGCATTAGTGTGGATATAATATTTGTGTATGGGTGCGGCACATGGTGTGACAATGATTGTTGTGAGTTTTCTAAGAAATCTAGCTCTTCTGTTATACCACAGGCACAAAATTTGTTTCAGTGATTGTAGAGGACTCACTTTGGATTTGCCATTGGACATGTCTTGAATCATGCATCCAGAAGGAAGCCTCCAAGAGAGGGTAGAGGAAGAATTTTCAGTCTCTTTGAAATCATATGATACATCCACAACCACCCATATGCTTGAATCAAGTTGTCGACAGTAACGAAGGAAAAAGAATTCTCGAGGCGCCACAAGGGGTGACAGAATATGCATTTGTTCATACATCTGTGTAAACATGTCCCAATTTCGAGTTACTCTACCAACAAAATCAATGTAAAAAGAAATCAAACTGAATTTCTGGGCTGTCTACAACATACCAACTGCAATGAACCTCCCAGGTCTCCAGTATCAATTGCTTCAAGTGTCCTAGCTTTTGTCACAATTGTAGGAAAAAGATCCACCCATTTATCCTGTAAAAATATTTTTTTGATGAGTAAATAAGTTTTATTTCCAAAAATAGGATAGTACAATGAAAACTCAAAACAAACCCGAAAAGGGCACACTAAACAATTTTGTAAATTTTGAGAATTCCTCGACACGAACTAACCTAGTCCTTAAAATATCCTCTCATAGCCAGAGAAACAGTACACGAATATTAATTTACATAAGCATCGTGTGTGTCATAGAATCTAGTATACATAAAATGTGAGAAATATGAAGAAGCTTGTTTTTCTCACTTAAAAAAGGAAGTATCAGAGTACTAACCGAATCAAGAAACATCTCCACCAAATGTATTGCAGCCATTTCCACCATAATTGTATCCTTAGATGATTCAATACGAGCACTGGTAGTTCTGAAGTGGTTAGCCTTGGGGAAAAGCTTGTCATAGCTGTCGCGATGAAGAGCACATCTCCCTTGATCAGCCGGGGACTTTACCCACACAGGCGCATTGACTCGCAGAAGCTTAACCAATTCATCCATGGCACTCGTAACAGTTTCAATCATGAGTGTCTTTTCCATCTTTTGTATTCCACTTAATTGGTATGCTGATATAGTGTCCTTAGAATGTGTTAAATGGGAAGAGCCTTCGGTCGCTTGACCGGAGAAAGCTTGTGCCAGTAGATCAGATGAATATCCAGGGGAGGGTGACAATGATTGAATCTCTGTAAATGGCTTCCCCATGAAACTTGCAAGAATGTTTGATACTCTCGCATGCTGCAAAACATACTTAAATTCGAATCAAAGCAAATACACTACGCAGAAAGTAAATTTGGACATACCAATACCATGATCATAATATTTCAAGATAACAAAACACTTTGATCTCTCAATTATCCTTCATATCTCACATTGCCCCCTTAATTATCATATTTTTCATGTTGCACCTTTTATTTGTCTCACTTCGCTCTCTTAACAATATTATTACTCACATTCCATCTCCAACTATGGTTATTTATTTCATATTATCCTAATATTAAACATTCAAACATGTATTTTACTGTATATTTGGGAGAGCAATGAGAGAAACTCAAAAAGGGGCAAAGTGAAACCAAGGCTATAATTAAGGGGTCAAAGTGTAATATTTAAAGTGAGAGTTAAAATGTACCTCTTCTTTCAACCGTGCATTTTCCATCATTAATTTCTGCAGACCATGTTGTCGATCTTCTTCTCGAAATGGTGGACCACCACAGGCTGGGCAAATGACACTTTTCAGTGCCTCTACGATTGCAAGGTTCTCACAATGGATCCTTTCATTTTCTGTTCGAAGTGAAGAATTATCTGCCCGCTCATTTTGAGCCTGAAAATATAACAATCAGTGTTGAATCACTATTATTGATCGAGTTAGAAATACTACTTAAACACACGCAGATACAAAATTTGCGTGATGGATTATTTGATCATATGTTGTTAAGGTATGCATGTAAATTCAATGTTTTTTTTTATTCCGAAATCGATGGTAATCTTGATTGAATTCTCTTCAACAAAGAGGGAAGAAAAAAAGATGGTTGAGAAAACTTGAGTGTACCTTTGTTTGAGTTCTCTTGTTTTGAAACCAAAACTTGATCTGCTTAGTATCAAGTCCCAATTCCATGCTTAATCGTCGTCGTTGGTTCTCATCTGGGTGTGGGCATTCCTTGAAAAATCTTCATCCACATCAAATAAAGACCTCATTAACCACCAAAAGATTTTAGAAAGTAAAGTGCAAAAGAGAAAGAGTAATTTCATTTTGGACTTAAAGAGATACCAACAAGTGAAAAGATAACCATTAGTGTAGGCTCAAAATCATACAATGAAAAACTTTGGTAACCCAAAACAAGCCAAATAGTTTAGAAAAAAACTGAATGTAATATGATTAAAGGCCGGAGAAAAACATTTAAACCCAAAAAAATCATAACTTCTACCTCCCGAAGTGGAGTTTACCATCCCTAAAAGTTGGTAAACTTCAGTCGAAAGGTGGTATAGATACCCAAAAAAATAGTAAATGGTACGGTACTAATTTGTTTTTTTTTTTGGGGGGCAATCCCTTTTAGAAGTTGTCCATGGCCATGAACATGAAAAGCCATGCACTTAAGATCAAACTTTAGTTTAAACTCCAAAACCAAAACAAAAGAAAAAAGTATGGGCATTAACATTAAAGTGGTTAATTACAGAGTCATCTTACGCTTCAAGCTGCTGAATTTGTTGAGCAGAGTGGCGATGGTAGTTCTTCTTCCCCTCCAGGGAATGCGATGTTTCTTCGTGGTCATCAGGAGACCCATTCCCTCCATACCCAAAATCCATCACTTTGGCCACTGCACAGAGAGAGAGAGAGAGAGAGAGTTTTTTATGATGCCCATTAAAAATTTATATACACAACCAACTATAGCAGTGTACTTAACATTGTTTCTTATCATGGTACATCCCCAAAAAGGGCATTACACCTCTGCAATCAACCAACCAACCAAACTTATACTTGTATGTATATACGTATATATATTTTCTACATATGTGTATATATTGATGCGTACGTACTGCGATACACACACATGTGCAGTGAGAGAGAGAGAGAGCATTTTTTTGATTTCATACATGGGTTTGAAGCTGGATAGTTTTTTTTTTTTTTTCCTGGCTTGCTATTTCTTGTTCCTGAACATGAAAATAGAGGTAGACACTAAAGTAACTGACAAGAAATCTGAAATATTACCAGGGGAGTAAGATTTTCAATGGGTGAATCAATCACAAATGGGAAAAATTAAAATTGATTTGCCGTCTTACATACTAATCTGACAGATAATAGAATCTCGCTTGCTAAATTGGGAGATATCATTTGGATTTCCAAAAACCCACCTTTTTCTTTCTCATCCCAAATACAAAAATGAGATAGAATTTGTTGATGTTATTGGTCATGTCATGGACCACAAAAAAGGTTACCCATATATTCCTTCAAATTTCGTTTATGATTGTGATAAACATGCCAGTTGAGTCAGTAATGTGAGTCTTTGAACTTTGTTAGTGATTGTGATCAATGGATTGTCAAGGTCCATGACTCTTTTGTAATTCTAGTCCTGTGTAGTCATGCACTTTGTCGACCTAATTATTTCTTATTGTTGAGTTAGAAGTGGGTCATCCTAATATTGAGTACGAGGGTTTACGAATAGTTTAATGAATTAGATCAGCACAATGTATAAAAAATCAAACATGATAGAGTTGAGAGCGCACATGAACATAAAAATGGATGATGAAGTCAAATTCTAGCCCACAATTCTTAACATGGACAGAAATCTTTGGTCACATAATCTATCAAGTCATCAATGTAAAATAAAAGAAGCTTCATTCCCATAAAAATAATTGGAAAAAAATGCTTATGTTCATGGCATATACTAAGAAGGCACTCATCCGGAATTAGGTCCAAACCGTTCGTTGGATGAATTTAATCATATGATGTCATGATTGATCTATACCCTATAGATATGCAGAAGAGAAATAATATCTCCACTTGAACTAAGATGGGATTTTTACGTGTTGAAATAACAAATAAGATGAAGCAGTATCACGACGACGAACCTCTACGTAAGAACGAATCTTTCAAATTAAGGTAATTTTGTTCACCATTGAATCTCAAATCAGCATTTAAAGTCCCTTGCTTGGAAATCCCAAGTGTGGTAAATGTTATTTGACCAATGATTTATAAAGTAATCCCCCATGTTAGTTATAAGTAATAATACCTTTTCGAAATGTTCAAAAAAAATTATATAGTATATTATATGGGAATAAGTTCATACTTTTCCTTTCCATTTTACTGCATAAAAAGGCCAATTCATTAACTTTTGTATCTGTCACAGTTTATTAGGAAGTAATTTTGCTAATAAGCATTTATGGCCCATGCTTCAGAAATGACCTGTTACTGTTTTAAGATAAATTCAGATTGCATCAACAAAACAAGCAAAAAAAATCAGATATCACACATTATTAACTCATATTATCATAATCTAATAATAAGACACTGTGATAAGTTTTGGGGTGAGTCCTCCATCAATTCTCAAAGAAGAAGCGGAATGGACCGTAGTACATGTCAAATTTAGAGGCAATGGTACATCATATTTGACTCACTGTATATATTTAGGAGGAAGAGAAACAAAAGCACTCAGACAAAAGAAAAGGACCAAGGAACTAAAAACTTTGCGGATAGCTCAACTATTGATAAATGTTTGATACGTCTTCAATCCACTGTATACAATGTACACTACATATATATAATCGACTCTCGTATAGGACATAGATTGTACCACATATCATGCATATGTGGTCTCTTATTATTAAAATGTGATATTATCATGATATTAGATATTACTCTCGTATAGGACATAGATTGTTGGTCATGCATGCCCTACTTCATTTTTAATTTTCAAATTCATGTATTTATTTGTTACTTTTGTATTATATGTGAAATTGTGGGTCATACATGCCCTACTTCATTTTTAATTTTCAGATTCATGAATTTATTTGTTATTTTTGTATTATATGTGATATTGATAACGTTAGTAATTACCATTTTATTGAATTTTTTCTCCACATTGTGAGTGCTCCCTAAGGTCATTACTTAGGCCATAAAGACGACACCACTGGGTTTGGGCTCACTTGCTGGGCTCTGATCATGTAACACCAACACCCCCACCCCCCCATTCTCTGTCTCTCGCCTTGGGGGGAAGACTAGACAGCTGTTTACATAAAATCTGAACTTGTAAATTTTTTCACCCTCTTTCAGTTTTGAAGTTGAACTAAATCGATAAAATTTCACTCTTCTACCCAGTTTTTGCTTTGCATTCATCAATATGTTTACGAATAGCCGGAGGCAAGAAGACGAACTGGGAAATATGGAACTCCTAGGGGTTCAATACCTTCAGGTACACTTGATGGCCAGACCCAATTGATGATATACCGATGATCTGTATTGGTGTATGCATTTATCTCATAATTTACATTAATGCTCTTGGTTGTTTTTTTTTTTTAATTTAATTTAATTTTTGTGTTTGATACAAAGGTGCTGCCGGGGAATTTGAGGAAATTTTTTTTTCCCAATTTCGCAGGAATTGGTGACCCAGTTTCAAAATACATGTAGCGAAGGTATACTTTTTGTTGATGTTATGTTCCACTGGTTTTCATTGGTATCCTCTCTTCAACTTTTATATTTTTATTCCGGATAGTGTGCCAGACATGAATCTAACTCGATGATGCAAAAAAAAAAAAAAAAATGACTATTATTTGGTCAGTCACTATTAGAATGGAGGGGGCGACGTAGTTCAAACCCACGATCTTAATGTCCAATAGCAGGGACGGACATTATTAGGCAAACCGCTAACCTCAAGTGCATTTATATATCAAGCTCGTAATTTGGTAACTTGGACATGGTGTGCAAAGAAGATATTGCTCAGAACAATCTAGTGTACTAAATAGTTTTAGCAGTAACTAGAAAAAACAATGCAGATCAAGTAACAGGGGAAAAAAAAAATGTGATTACCCTATTTAACCCCCTTCAATTGAGGATTTTTTTTTTGGTCAAGCCCTTCAATTGAGGATGATGGGGGTGGTTCTGGTTACCATTGTATCATACAGTGATTTGTGTTTAAAGATATTTAATGCAACTATTTGACCTGTATAGTGCAGATTCAGTTGAATCTTTACTTGGATTCCCGATGGAATGAAGTGAATAGGATGGATGTGTTTTATTGACAAATGATTACATGTTATTACAGATTCAAAAGCGAGGGTTGTTGCTAATCTGGCAAACTTTGCATATGATCCTTACAATTAGACCTTTTTGCGTCAGGTACACTGATTTGGGAACTGGGTTTTCTTTGCTTGCATTTAGACTTTTTCTTCTGCCACATAAACAACTATGTTTAATTTAAACAGCTTAATGTTTTGGAACTTTTCCTAGACTGCATAACAGAGCCCAATGAGAAGCTTGTGGAGTTTGGTGTTGGAGGAATCTGTAATTCGTGTGCTGGTAATGCTAAATTTTAAATCTTTTGAGTCGATATAATATTAAAGCAACTCTGAATGTGACATTTCTTTGTTCACAAAGTTTGACGATGTTTTCCAAATCATGAATCCTAAGATGTGCGTGTGTCCAACTTACTCCATTTATCTGCAGATCCTGCAAATGCTGCTATGGTGACTCATTGTGGTGGGATCCCTTGTATTATCCAATGCTTGTCTAGTCCTGTTAGAAACAGCGTAAGGGGAGAAACATGTCTTTCATGGCTCTTCATGAATCCTTTGAAATGTTACTTCATATTTTTTTGAACTGGAGACCTTCATGTACGACTAAAGCTAGACCAAACTACCTGGTAGAGGGAACAAAATTATAGTTTCACTATCCACGTTATATTGTGTGCATTCACATCAATTATGCATAATTGACTGCAAGATATCTGAGATGGGTACCTTGTATTGACCAGTGGCTGTCATTTTACCGTGGTTTTGCAATGTCATGATATCTTCCAGTTTGTAACTATTAATGAGCTTGCACCAAATGAAAAATGACAGTTGATATTACTTTGTTGACATGAATTACCTCGTGGTTAGAGGGCCATGTACGTTACCGTTTTTGGGTTGCATATACAATAGACGCATTATAGGTAATTAGTTAATGCAATTATGGTGATTCCAGATTTCCATGTTGTACCACCAGTGAAATAGCATACCAAAATTTGCCCCTGGATTTCTTTTGTTTATAGCTCTCCTCAAAATGGTTTTGCATGTCTAAGCTTCAAACAACATTTATTGAGAAAGGAAACTGGCAAGTCAATCATCTAATTCGGTAGCTTTATCTGAACTATATCATGTAATTAATTACAGGTGTGTTTATATTGATGGTTTAACTTGTAAACATCAATTGCTATGTGAATTACGCTCTTGGGGCTTTATACTATCTCTCCAATGCATCTAACAAGTGATGGATTTTGGTGGATGTAATTCAAAGGTACACTGCAGTTTGTGCAGTTAGTGTAAGCTTCAGCAATTTGGCTCATTCAATATCATGTAATTCACATGGAAAAGAGATTTTTCAATACAGTTCATATCTTGATGATGCATATCTGTTTTCCTCTTTGGCTAATTCATTTTGCTCATACCTTAGTGCCTAAAAGGTTATATTTTATCTCATGTTTCAGTTTTAATTGCAGTTTTAGCAGATTCTAGTAAAGCATCCGCTTATGTTTTTCACATTTCATACTAGTAACTGCAGATCAATATGGTATTATTTTTTTATATAACCTGAGGATCTTGGCTAACAAGCA